TCAGGTTGCGGGGCCATTTAAAAACTTGTTTTGTAGAATTCTTGGTGGTGGGATGAAGCTTGGGGGCAAAAATCTGAAGCTAGTGGCTACAAGAGAGCCTGAGGCTCGTTCACCTGCACATCTACCAGTGTGATATATGCCATCATGTGCCAGCAATGCCCCTCTGCCATGTACATTGGTCAAACTGGACAGTCTCTATGTAAAAGAATAAATGGACACAAATCAGATGTCAAGAATTATAACATTCAAAAATGAGTCAGAGAACACTTCAGTCTCTTTGGTCACTCAATTACAGACCTAAAAGTGGCAATTCTTCAACAAAAAAACTTCGAAAACATACTCCAACAAGAGACTGCTGAATTGGAATTAATTTGCAAACTGGATACAACTTAGGCTTGAATAAAGACTGGGAGTGGATGGGTCATTACACAAAGTAAACTATTTCCTCATGTTTATCCCCCCCCACCTTCCTCACACATTCTTGTGAACTGCTGGAAATGGCCCACCTTGATTACCACTACAAAAAGTCGTCCCCCCCCCCCCGCCGGTAATAGCTCACCTTACTTGATCACTCTCGTTACAGCGTGTATGGTAACACCCATTATTTCATGTTCTCTGTGTATATAAATCTCCCCACTGTATTTTCCACTGAATGCATCCAATGAAGTGAGCTGTAGCTCACGAAAGCTCATGCTCAAATAAATCGGTTAGTCTCTAAGGTGCCACAAGTTCTCCTGTTCTTTTTGCGGATACAGACTAACACGGCTGCTGCTCTGAAACCTGAATAATCTAATAAATTGTATTAGAGCTGCTGTGAGGAGCCTGAAGTAGTAGTGCGCTGATCACCCAGTGATGGCTGCTGCCGAACAGCACCAATGTGCATCGGTATCGACATGGACCAGAGACAATTTTAGCGATTGGCATTTTCATGATGGGTTGGAGCAACTATCCCACCAAAACCCACTCCCTTCCTCCTTGATGGTCTCAGCCTTCTGGAATAGAGTGAAAGTCTGGCTTAAATCCTAATTTTGCAGCTGGGACAGGTTCTGGACCTCTGTGGTCAGTACTGGCATGTGGGAGGGGAGACTAATGAAGGGGAGGGATTAGCTTTGGATGCTAGATTGCATGGGATCTTGTAAATGATATTCATGTTATAATGAACAGCCTGTTGGCCAGAGCATCCTGTAGTTGCAATTGGCTGTGCTTTACCAGCTGGGGTCACTACAGTCAAAAGTTCTTTGTGCAGGCAGCTTTTTAGAACATCGGGAAACTTTTCTTTAGAACTTCAGAGGGCAAAAATAAAACCACAACTGTAGCTACATAGGACAATAGGTTCATGTACGTGAATAGTCTGTGACTACAGTGGCTGGCGAGGAAGCACATTTGGTGCCACTGGCAGTAACTTCTACTGACAGATCATATTTAATCAAGAGGAGAGGGTGAATCAAACAGACTGTGTACTTGCCTTTCTCTGGAAAATTAGACTTCCTGGTAGCTATTTTCTGGTGCGTGTGTTCTGGTAAACAACTGAAAGTAAAACATCTTTGGTGTTGGGTGCAAAAAGCTGCTTGCCTTGAAGTATAGGGAAAGCTGGCAGCATGGGGCTTCAAAAGCACCAGGATGAGACTTCAGTGAGCATGAAGGGATCACTAACTCATTATTCTTGCTCTCCCTCCATAAATACTGGCGAGGAACTGTTAACAGTGCAAATGTAAAAAGAAAAGGAGTACTTGTGGCATCCAATAAAGTGAGCTGTAGCTCATGAAAGCTTATGCTCAAATAAATTTGTTAGTCTCTAAGGTGCCACAAGTCCTCCTTTTCTTTTTGCAAATACAGACTAACACGGCTGCTACTCTGAAACCAGTACAAATGTAGGTATTCTTGGTATTAATCCTGTTCTCAATTTTAGCTCTGAAAGTTTTGCCTATACCCAGAAATTATTTTAAAGAATTACTTTGATTGAGGCTCTTGGGTCACATTTGGTGCCTTGAATTCTCTTTAAAAAAATATTTTTAGGGATTTTTTGAGAACTTCTCAAATTTCAGGCATGTTTGGATCCAGGGTTCTGGTTTGTCCCCATATAATAATCTGATGGGGAAAATCCTCTAGCTTTGGAATATTTTTAACTTGGCACAAAAGCTTACATTTTAAAAAAAGACACTAAGTCCTAGGAATTGTATCCTACTGGCACCATAGCTGCATTTAGCAGATGTCTCCAGAGATATGCCAGTATGTGCTGGCTTCTCTTGTGAGAGGGGAGCTAACCAGTGGGAACTGGTGAGCATGAGAATCTAAGACAGCAACTTCAGCAGAAATGTAAGTTTCTAGCCCTCATGATTGCAAGGCAGCCTGATTGCAAAGAGAAGGAGATGATAGTAAAGCAATTACAGAGAAACTAACTAGGCTGGTCAGTTTCGTAGGTACTCTTCACAGAAACTGTCAAGTATGATATCAGCTTCATGCTGCTGTTGGTTGGATCAGCTATGGAAAATGCCAGAGGCAGAAGATAGAGCTATTTATGGGAGAAGACTCAAAAACATAGAGGGGAAGTGGTAGAGAAGTCAAGAACTTCCTTTCAAGTAGCTTGGTGGGAAGGATAAGGAACAGGTGGAGGATGATTGGTATATTCTAGCCGGCAGCTAGATAAAGACTGAAAGATGGAGCCCCGAGCAGGGTCCATGAACTGTAGGAATCTCAACATTTTCCCTATTTTCAGAAGTTGGGATGGGGAGTGGGTCAGTTTCTTACAAGGGTGTGGCTCCTGGACCTCACCATTGAGTCCCATCTCTTGGGGTTAGTTCCTGTGGCTCACAGGTGTTCGATAACATTGTGAAGTCTGTCACTTTGAGTGTCACACCCAATGATTCATATTGGCTATGGAGTAACTTGTTGCATACCGAATGGTACCATGAAACTTGTGCACATGCACGCTCTTGACTGTACATGTTATATGTCTAGTAAGGCATTTGGATATCACAATGATGGATACAATCTGACTAGAATAGAATTCCTTCATAATATGTTTCAGAGTAACAGCTGTGTTAGTCTGTATTCGCAAAAAGAAAAGGAGGACTTGTGGCACCTTAGAGACTAACCAATTTATTTGCGCATAAGCTTTCGTGAGCTACAGCTCACTTCATCGGATGTAGCTCACGAAAGCTTATGCTCAAATAAACTGGTTAGTCTCTAAGGTGCCACAAGTCCTCCTTCTCCGTTTTCATAATATGTGGTGCTCGTAAAAAGAGAAACAGTCTGTAGGACGATAGCAACTCTCCAGTTCTGGTCCCAGTTACCTAAAGCTGCTGCCTCCTTCTCTGATCCTGTTGCACCTGCAGTGCCTGTCCCCTTACACACCCTGGGCTCTGCAGATTGAGTTGTCCCTGAATTCCTTGTCCTGCTGTTGGGCAGTAGGGTCATCCTCCTCCACTCATCCCCTTTCACACCTACCAGGATACCTGAGTGGGCAGCATTTTTCACAGAGGTGGGAGATTCCAATCCTGGGGTGGTGGTGAGGGGGTCTTTGTGTGTCCCAGTTCCGAAAGGGGGTGTCCCAGATTTAGGAGAAGGGGGGTGGGTCCTAGTTCAATGGGGCTGAGGTGGTCCCAGTGCAGGGGGAGTCCCCATTTGGGAGGGGGGGGCTGAGCTGGGGGGTCCCAGTATGGGGGAAGGGCCTGAAGGAGTGTCCTGGTGCAGGGGGTAAGGGGAGGGAATATCCCCGTTGGAGGGGGCACTGAGCTGGGGGGGTCCCAGTGTGGGGAGGGAAGGGGCAGGGATGTCCCCACGGGGGGGCCAAGCTGGGGGGGGGTCCCGGTGCAGGGGGGAAGGGGCAGGGATGTCCCCACGGGAGGGCCGAGCTGGGGGGGGGTCCCGGTGTGGGGGGGTAGGGGCGGGGCTGTCCCCACGGGGGGCCGAGTTGGGGAGGGGGTCCCGGTGCGGGGGGGGAAGGGGCAGGGATGTCCCCCCTGGGGTTCCCAGTGCGGGGGGAAGGGGCGGGGATGTCCCCGCGGGGGCCGAGTTGGGGAGGGGGTCCCGGTGCGGGGGGAAGGGCGGGGATGTCCCCACGGGGGGCGAGCTGGGGGGTCCCGGTGCGGGGGTAAGGGGCGGGGATGTCCCCACGGGGGGTCGAGCTGGGGGGTCCCGGTGTGGGGGGGTAGGGGGGGGCTATCCCACGGGGGGCCGAGTTGGGGAGGGGGTCCCGGTGCGGGGGAAGGGGCGGGGATGCCCCGCGGGGGCCGAGCTGGGGGGTCCCGGTGCGGGGGGGGAAGGGGCGGGGATGTCCCCGCGGGGGTCCCAGTGTGGGGGGAAGGGGCGGGGCTGTCCCCACGGGGGCCAGCTGCGGGGTCCGGTGCGGGGGTAGGGGCGGGGTGCCCCGCGGGGGCCGAGCTGGGGGGTCCCGGTGCGGGGGGGAAGGGGCAGGGATGTCCCCACGGGGGGCCGAGCTGGGGGGGGTCCCGGTGCGGGGGGTAGGGGCGGGGCTGTCCCCACGGGGGGGAGCTGGGGGGGGTCCCGGTGCGGGGGGGATAGGGGCGGGGATGTTCCCGCGGGGGCCGAGCTGGGGGGGTCCCGGTGCGGGGGGATAGGGGCGGGGATGTCCCCACGGGGGGGCCGAGCTGGGGGGGGTTCCCGGTGCGGGGGGGAAGGGGCGGGGATGTCCCTGTTGGGGAAGGCGGGGGTCTCCGTTGCCCAGGGACCCTGAGGCGAGAGCGGAGGCTCCGCCCTATTGCGCTGGGGCCTGCTTGGCCGCGGAGATGGGGGAACGGGGGGGGGCTTCCCCACACTCCCCGGCGGGGCTTCCCCCAGGGACTGTCCCCTCCCGCGCCCCGTCGCGTCTCCGCTCTAGGCCCCGCTCCGCTCGGAGTGACGCGCGGAAACGGCGGCCGCTTTGCTGGCGTCAGTGGGCCCCGCCCCCGGTGGTTGCCGTGGCAGCGGTGGCCCCGCCCCCGGGCCGATGAGCTCACGCGGTGCCGCAGCCCCGGGAGGGGGGGGGGCTTTCTGCTCCTCGTACCAAGATGGCGGCGGCGGCTGCAGCGAGCGGCGGAGCGGGGGGCCCCCCTCCAGCCCCCGGCTCCCGGCTGCCCCCGGCCCCGCCGCCACCCCGGCCCCCGGGCCCCGCCCGCATCGGGTACTACGAGATCGAGCGGACCATCGGCAAGGGCAACTTCGCCGTGGTGAAGCTGGCGACCCACCTGGTGACCCGGGCCAAGGTGCGGGGGGGCCCGGGCCGGCGGCGGGAGCCGAGGGGGCCGCGGATACGGTCCGGGGGGCTGGGCTGGTGGCCCGGGCGCAGGGGGGCTGGGCCAGCGTTGGGGGGCCGGGGGCCGGGGGGGTGGGGATAAGGTCGGCGGGGGCGGCACGTCGTGCGTGGGGCTGGGCAGCTGCGGGGGCGGCGGGGGCCCCGGCCTGCTGCTGGCTTCGGGGTCCGATCCTGGCTCCCCCTCCCGCCCCCCCGCGGCAGGGGGCTGGTGTCACCCCGGGATGCCCTGGGGCGCAGTGTGCCCAGCCCCACGCACGGGGTCCCCGGGGGCTGCCCCCCCGGTCTCCCAGGGCGGGGGGGGGCCGTGCCCGGAGCGGGGCTGGTGCCTGGGCTGTAGCTCCCCGTTCCGCAGCCTCCGCCTCCAGCTCCCGCAGCTGGACCCGGAGCCGCTTGCCCTGGCTCCGCGCTCCCGCCGCTGCCCCGGCCCACTGAGGCGGCTGGGCGGAGTGACTCTCCCCCGCGGCTGGGTCTCCGCCTGGGTCAGGGCCCCCAGGACCCTGCCGTGCCCTGCGAGCTGCTGGGCTTCAGTGTCCCTGCTCAGTGGCGGTGCTGCACTGTTCTTATGCAACTGCTGCTGCACAGGGATGTGTCAGGAGCCCTGCACGATGTTAGCAGTAGCTCCCATGTGCAACTGGTCACTTGTGTTGAGGTTTCTCTTGTGCAATATGGCTCAGAACACAGTGATGGACAATGTCCCTGGCTATGTTTTAAGGGCTTGCTCAAGGGTTAAAATCAGATTGGGCAGGCTGATGGAGAATCAAAACTCTTGAACTGAAAGGTTCTAAAATTCTATCATTCACTGTCTGTGCTTTGTTCACAATCTGCATTTCTTAATTGCCCTGTTCATCTTGGATAGTGAAAATGTATTGGTCACTTTCACTTTCTGGTTCTTTTGCTGCACTGTTTGAATTCCAAACTTTTCAGGGGGAAGTTTAGATCCTAAACAAAAACTGTTTATTTAAAACAAAACAAAAAACACCAAACAAACAGTGAAAGCATTTCTCAGTATAAGGTTTTGTGAGACCCTGATCCTCTGTATCACTGACACCAACCAGTGAAATGTCTTGTTTTGTGTGAATGTCATACATATTTTGGGCTCCTCATTCCTCCCTGTGTCCACTTTAGAAGAAGTTGCTGCTCTGAACAACTTGGGTAGGGCTAACACCTGTTGATGTAGCATTCTCAGGCCTTGATGATAGAAAGCTTTTGTATTGATGACCCCTTTGACACAAAAAGAAAAGGAGCACTTGTGGCACTTTAGAGACTAACCAATTTATTTGAGCATAAGCTTTCGTGAGCTACAGCTCACTTCATCGGATGCATACTGTGGAAAGTGTAGAAGATCTTTTTATACACACAAAGCATGAAAAAATATCTCCCACCACCCCACTCTCCTGCTGGTAATAGCTTATCTAAAGTGATACAGCAAGCATCTGAATGTGACCCCCCCCTTTATACATTAAAAATGGGGGGGGGTCATTTAATGGGGGCTTGGAGCTGTCAGTCCCACAGAGCTGATAGCTTGTGACCCCCAAGTAACCACCTTGCAACCCCCTGAGGGGTCACGGTCCCCAGTTTGAGAACCCCTGATCTAGCATATGAGTTTTTGGTACAGCCCCAGGTAACAAAAAAAGCTGCAGAAAATGCTCTTTCCCAATTGGATGGTGGATTCTGAACTCTGTTGTCATTGTCTCAGTGTTGGGTTTAGTCAGAATGACTGTTACCTGAGGAAGAGCTCTGTGTAAGCTTGAAAGTTTGTCTCTTTCACCAACAGAAGTTGGTCCAATAAAAGATATTACCTCACCCACCTTGTCTTTGTGATATTGGTGCCATCCTCTTCACCACAGACCCTTTGTCGGTTCTCACGAGTGAAAATAGCATTCTGAAGAGTTTTTACTATCCAATGCCATGCAACTGCTTTGATCCTGACTCTTATTTAATTAATTTCACATGGATAAACCTGAAAGAAGAGCTGACTTTGACTCCTATCTGTTTTGGATAGGAGCGGTTATTGGCGAACTTAATAAAGGGCAATACTTATGTTTCAGTTTAAAGACAAACCTTTCCCCAGATATTTTTTTAAAGAAGAGTTTGAGTCTTCCAGGACTATCCCATAAACTGTAAAGAATAAAACAGAGGAAGAAAAGACTTGTTGACCAAATATTTGCAGTATGCAGGCAGGTCATTTTGAGGTACAGTTTAGCTGATGGGTATATCACTTATTTGCATATCAGAAGTCACATTCCAGCAACTAATAAAAGTATCATATTGTCATTTTTAGTACCCCATCCTCTGTCTTCCAGATTTTAGTGCTGAATATGCCAGTACATGCTGCAACAGTGCAGTGCTCTGTGGGTTCCTCTGTAGAAGCCATAGTGTCCTGAAAACCCTAATGGAAACTTAATCAGGGGCCATGCTGGTCCAGCAGGGCTGTGGGTCCTTACCACCACAGACCATCTTTTCTATGCCCCTGTCCATTATATCAGCAAATTGACAGCAAGGGAAAGTCAGCCTGTCAAGAGTTTTTTGGCTTGCACACTTTTTGATTGCCATGTAAATTTCAGGAGTCAAATCCTGCTGTGACACTGGTGTAACTACAAATTAATGCCTCCATTTTCTTAAATTCTGGATTTACACCCATCTGCCTGAGTAGGACTTGTCCCAGAGGCTGTTAAAGTTTAATCTAAAGTAATGTAATGCCTACTGGACAGTATCTTTTAGTAGTGGATTAGCTGCTCTTGTCTATGTAGTATTTACAACATTCAGAGATGCCTCTGCCTTTAATTGCAAGATGCTACAGTCTAGCATTACTTATGGCTTGATCGTTACTTGCCCAGTGATGATAACTAAGCTTCCTGAACTTTGCTGATAGAAGCAGGAATGCTCCCATTTCAGCTGCTTTAAATGCTGAAAACTGAGCATCTTGATTAGAAATCAGCCCTTCAATTATTAACTGAGCTCCTGTTTTCAGCATTCCTAGCTGAGTCAGGCTTTGTATTGAGCATTGTTAATTCTGAAGGTTGTGAAATATTGAAGGTTGTGAGTTGGTTTATTGCATGTGAATGGCTAAAGATCTTGCGAGATAGTGAAAAGATGAACACAAACTTAACCTTTGACTGGCCTATTTATGACCAGATGGCCAGTAGTGCGTGTATTGAGACTACCAAATGTATATAACTTATGACCTAAGAATGGGTTGAACTTGAATCTCCACTAATGAAAAGCCATTGCACTAAGTTAAGGCCTGTGCCACTTGCATCTATAATTCTGAAGTTGGTTAACTTAATTGTCCTCTTCCATATAGGAGACATTGTATATATTGCATGGTATGGTGGTAGATGTTAGATGCTTCCAATCCTTAAATCCAGAGAGAGAAATTATAGTGGCAGCTTATGTACTTTCAGGTTCTCCAATAGATGTGGAGCAGGTTTCCATTCTCTAACTGGAAACTGAAAACCTTCAGCACCAGGATACTCTGGGTTCTGAAGAGCTAGTTCACTTCAAAACTCACCTCTGCCTGAGAAGCAGAGCGGGAAAAGAAAAGAAAATCACTTCATATGTAGGACCTATGTCCTCCCCCAATATTGTTCTTATGCTGTTCTTGCTGTCCTCACGAGCTGTCAGTAGTTTGGACATTGCTGACTATGATGTACAAACAAGGGGGAAATCAAAAAGCTATATTTCAAACTCCGTCAGAAAGATGGGGGTTGTTGGGAAGAATCAGTATTAAGTAAATCGGAAATGGCTAACGTGTTATGGAAACTCCGTTGTTTAAGAGGGCATTGAAAGTTCCAAAATGAAACCCATGAAGCGTTTGTTTTCTTCATAGTAATGAATTGTTTGACTCAAGGAAAATTACTTAAACTGAATCTTTGTGAAATCACCCCATTTAGTCAAGTAACTAAAACGTTGATAATGAAACTCGAGCATAGTACAATTAGTCAATGCAGCCGAATCAAATTGCTTAACAAATTTGATGCTCTGACTTCTCATTGGAAGAAGCTTATTTTATTCTTCAGTGACACTCAAACTGGAACCATGCCCTTCCAAAAGTAATCACAGCAAATGTCGATAACTTTTAAATGATGATGATTAACCTGCTTGGTACAGTTCAAAGTTTTTTACCATTTTGTGAACTTAGAGATTACCTGTTGATCTGAGATCTTTTTCTGTCTGGTGTAGATATTCTACAAGTTCAGATGACTTTGATGTGACACCTGGGCATGTCTTGATTTAAATACTGTAGATCCCCCTTCCCACCTGAAAAAAGAAATAAACAAAAACCTCATAACCCATTACTTAGGTCAGTGGCGCTCAACCTTTCCAAGCTACTGTACCCCTTTCAGAAATCTGATTTGTCTTGCGTACCCCCAGGTTCCACCTCACTTACAAACTACAGTACTTGCTTCCAAAATCAGACATAAAAATACAAAAGTGACACAGCACACTATTACTGAATAATAGCTGACTCTCATTTGTACTATATAATTATAAAATAAATCAATTGGAATATAAATATTGTACTTACATTTCAGTATATAGAGCAGTATAAACAAGTCATTGTCTGTATGAAATTTTAGTTTGTACTGACTTCCCTCGTACTTTTTATACAGCCTGTCAGCCTGTATGTCCTAGTCAGTTTCAAAATGGCTACGAATTATAATACTCAACCTAAGTCAGTGGTTCTCAACAAGAGGTACGTGTACCCTGGAGCGTACCGCAGACGTCGTCCAAGGGGTGCATCAACTCATCTAGATATTTGCCTTATAAACGAGGCAAATATCTAGATGAGTTGATGCACCCCTTGGACGACGTCTGCGGTACGCTCCAGGGTACACGTACCTCTTGTTGAGAACCACTGACTTAGGTTGAGTATTATAATTCGTAGCCATTTTGAAACTGACTAGGACATATCTTTATTTACATAGCTAGTATGTTCCCACGTTCTGT